GGCAACATCGATCAGCTTCAGTTAGCAGCAGTAGCAAAGGAATCGCTCCATCGGGTTCAGTTAACAGGCATCGATTGATCGCTCGGGTTCAGTAACGCGTAGCCTGCAGTGCAATCGCTCGGATTCAGTTAGAGCCCAACGCCTTGCTCGGCTTCAGTTAGAGCCAACGCCTTGCACACACACGTGTATGTATGAGAGAAACGTGCATCGCTCCGCCCCCGACCTCCCACCGTAACCGGCAACTCTCCGAAATTTTCCTCCCACTCGCTTCTATCACGGTTTTTTTCCGTCATGGACGGCCAAAAGAATGTCATGCAGCTGCATCTCCGGACCGCCCAGGACGAAAAGCCCATTTTCTGTCATGATTTTTTGTCATAGAAGTAGGAGCCCACCACATCTATGATGATACCGGGTTTTGTCACAATTATCGTCATAGAAGTGTCATATGTATGACAGACAAAAAATTCGTTCTGCCCAAAATGTCACGGATGTGTCTTTTTTTGTAGTGTTACATGATAAATCTCATCCAACTCATCACCGTCCAGCAAGCCTGCGATGGAATTAATCGCACACGGTGGTGAGCATCATGAAATTGGTGATGGAGGATGGTTGATGATGATGATGGCGACGATTTCCCCTCTCCGAAACCCCGAATGGACTCCAGATCTGCCCTCCCGATGAAGAACAGGAGGCAGCGGTGACTCCGTATCGTAAAACGTGATGCATCCTTCTCTCTGATTTTTCCTCCCGGAACATGAATATATGGAGTTGGAGTTGAGGTCGGTGGAGGTCCAGGGGACCCACAAGGCAGGGGGCGCACCCTAGGGGGGTGGGTACACCCTCCACCCTTGTGGAAAACACGTGGGCCCCCCTCGGTTGATTCTTTCGCCAATATTTTTTATTTATTTCAAAAATATTCTCCGTGGATTTTCAGGTCATTCCGAGAACTTCTATTTCTGCACAAAAATAACACCAAGGCAATTCTGCTCAAAACAGCGTCAGTCTGGGTTAGTTCCATTCAAATTATGCAAATTAGAGTCCAAAACAAGGGCAAAAGAGTTTGGAAAAGTAGATATGATGGAGACGTATCTGAGAGGCATAAGCTAACGTACTTTCTCTACTTGGATCATATGCACTTATGGTTGGAACTCTAGCAAGCATCCACAACTACTAAAGATCATTAAGGTAAAAGCCAACCATATCATTAAAGTATCAAGTCCTCTTTACTCGCATACGCAAACAACCCCCTTACTCGGGTTTAAGCTTCTGTCACTCTACCAACCCCCATAAGTGAAACATCAACATATTACAAACCCTACAGCAGGAATCATTCACGTGTGCGCGGCATAGAAGGCACCATAGAACAACACCAAAATAAAACATACAACTCAAACCAATCTAGATCATCAATCAACCCAAAAGACAAAAGAAATCTAGTCAAAACATCATAGGATGGAAACACATCGTTGGATCATAATATGTGGCATAAAGCACCATGTTCAAGTAGGGCATTACAGCGGGGTGCAGGAGACTGGACTGCTAAAAAGAGATGAGGGAGGGGCTGAAGAGGATGATGTTGATGAAGATGATCACCACGGCGGCACTCCGGCGCCACCGAGAGAGAGGGGGGAGAGTCACCCCCTTGTGCTTCCTCCTTCATGCCCCCCTAGATGGGAGAGGTTCTCCCTCAGGTCCTTGGCCTCCATGGTGATGATGCCCCCCTCCGGCTTCCTCCTCCATGGCCTCCAGTGATGATGGCCCCCTCCGGTAGGGTGCCGGAGAGGGCCTAGATTGATATTTCGTGGCTATAGAGGCTTGCGGTGGCGGAACTTCCGATCTAGGGTTCTCTTCGGAGGTTTGGGTATTTATAAGAATTTTTGGCGTCGGTCTCACGTCAAGGGGGTGCGTGAGGGCCCCACAAGCCCAGAGCACCCTCCCTAGGGGGTACGGCGCGCCTAGAGGGCTTGTAGCCTCCTCCTCCACTTCCTGGCCCAGCTCTTGTGCTTCGGGGGGGTCTCTTTTGGTCCATAAAAAATCACCGTAAATTTTCAGCCCATTCCGAGACCTTTTATTTCTGCATAAAAAATGACATCACGGTAGTTCTTCTGAAAGCAACGTTAGTCTGGGTTAGTTCTAATCAAATCATACCAAATCATATAAAATTGTTGTAAACATGGCATGAATACTTCATAAATTATATATACGTTAGAGATGTATCACGACCTCGGCATTCTCGACTGGGAGCTTTGGCAAGACGATGGGATAAGCAGCAGTCAGGTTTGGAGCACATCGATGGAGGTACACACACGCGCGCACGCATACACGCGCGCGCGCGTGCACACACACACACACAGAGAGAGAGAGAGAGAGAGAGAGAGAGAGAGAGACCTAGATGGAGGACTGGAATCAGGGGTAGAGGAGGAGGGGATGCGGCGGCGGCTCGCGGTGGATCTCCGGGCAGCTGCAACTCGCACCGGCAGGTGGGCGCTGGCTCGGACACCCATCCTGTCGGTACCTGAGGAACGGCGACGGGGCAAGCAGAGAGGCGGCGGCGGCCGGATCCAGAGATGCGGAGGAGAAAGGGGACGAGAAAGGAGGGGGCGAAGCGAGGGCTGCGAGGCAAGGGTTATCACTCAATCGAGCACCCCCCTCGCCTTTACACCGAGAGGAGCCAGACATGAACCGCCACGCAAGCGCCATCATATGGAATGACGGGAGTACCCTCAGCGGATCCCCAAATTTACAGGTGGTGGCACATGCTCTCCACAAGAAGCACACGGCTCCGGGAGAACTGTGCTCCGCGGTCGCTGACGGGTACGACCCATCACGACCGGGTCCCGCGTGTCATGGAGAGCCAAAACAATGCCGCGGGTGTAGCAAGCATATGCACTATTCATTGTAGTAGTGTTTCTTACGATCCGACGGCCATGATCGTCCCGGATGAAAATCCGACGGCCAGGATCATTTTGGACGGCTAATCCGACGGCCCAGATTCAGATGGCGTGAGAGAGCTTCATTTATGCCGAGACTCTAACAATGGGACGAGGATCTGACGAGCAGGGCATGGCAGAGACTTGACATCTCCCGCTCCAGTCACCACCTACCGTCCTACCCTCTCCCGTGGTGACCGCCCTGCAGCAGCCCAGGCCGACCCATTTCACTGCATCCTCTCATCTTTTCTATCTTTCCCAATTCTGCGTTCCAAACGGAATTAACAACACGTAATGCACGGAGTCTAACCTTTCCTGGGAAGATGAGCTCGGCGTAAAATGATGGAATGCAGTGCCCGTGAATCCCTGCTGTACAAGAAAACAAGCTTTCAGTTCCAAGAATCGAGGCGAAGCTACTGTTGAGTGCTAACTTTCAGAAAAATGTTTCGATGTTCACGTGAAGCTTAGCTACAAGACGAGAAGATCCGCAAAAAAGAGGAATTATTTTTACAGAACGAGAGTAGCAACCAACATTGCTTGGTGGTGATCACTGTGTCATCAGCACAAGTCTAGTTACTCATTGGGAGAGCAGCGCCAGCCTAGGTCTGCTGTTAAAAGGAAATGAGAATCCGTTTGGCCGACGCGACACCAAACACTCGCCAGGCCACTCACAGTCATTAAACAAGCTAACGCATCAATGGCTCTCGCGGGGACGCCGACCTCCGGTGACCAGGCCAGAGGCGCACCGCCGCACCTGATCTTCATCCCGAGCGCTGGCATGGGCCACATCCACCCTTTCTCCCGCTTCATCGCCGCCCTCGCGAGCCAAGGCGCCGTCGACATCTCCGTCGTGATCGCGCTCCCGACGGTCTCCGAGGCCGAGGCCGACCACTTCACCGCCCTCTTCGCGGCCTTCCCCGCCATCCGACGCATCGACTTCAACCTCCTGCCGCTCGACGACGCCACCCTTGCCGGCACGGACCCCTTCCTCCTGCGGTGGGAGTCCCTTCGCCGCTCCGCCCACCTCCTCAGCCCGCTCATCGCCGGCGCCGCGCCGCGCGCGTCGGCCATCGTCACGGACATCACCCTGGCTTCCCAGGTCATCCCCGTGGCTAAGAACGAGCTGCGGCTCCCGTGCCACATCCTCTTCATCTCATGCGCGACCATGATGTCCTTCCTCGCCTACTTCCCCACCTACGTTGACGGCGCCAACACGGACCACCTCGCCGGGGACGTCGACGTCCCCGGCATTGGACACCTCCCGGTAGATTACCCCCCGCAGGTGCTGCGCGACCCGGACAACCTCTTCACCAAGCAGTTCATCTCCAACGGCCGCGAGATCGCCGAGGCAGACGGCATTCTCCTCAACACGTTCGACGCCTTGGAGCCGGAGGCACTCGCCGCCCTGCGCGACGGCAAGGTCGTTTCCGGGTTCCCTCCGGTGTTCGCAGTCGGCCCGCTTAAGTCTACGAGCACAGACAAGGAGGCGGTACATGGCGCCTGGCTCGACGAGCAGCCGGCGCGCTCGGTTGTGTACGTGGCCTTCGGCAACCGCAACGCGGCCGCGCTGGAGCAGATCCACGAGATCGGCGCCGGGCTGGAGGCGAGTGGCTGCCGGTTCCTGTGGGTGGTGAAGACGACGGTGGTGGACCGTGAGGACACAGCGGAGCTCAACGACGTGCTGGACGACGGGTTCCTGGGGCGCGTGCATGGGCGCGGCCTGGTGATCAAGGAGTGGGTGGACCAGGAGGCGGTTCTGAGGCACCCGGCCGTGGGGCTGTACGTGAGCCACTGCGGGTGGAACTCGGTGACAGAGTCGGCCGCGTGCGGCGTGCCGATGCTGGCGTGGCCGATGACGCTGGGCGACCAGCGCCTGGTAGCAACGGTGATCAGGAGCGCCGGCTTCGGGCTGTGGCTGGAGCACTGGAGCTGGGACAGGGAGAGCTCGCTGGTGCGCGCGGCGGAGATAGCGGAGAAGGTGAAGGCGGTGATGGGCGACGAGGCGATCTCGGCGAGGGCTAAGGAGGTCGGCCGGGAGGCGACCAAGGCCGTTGCCCCGGGCGGCTCCAGCCACCGGAGCATGCAGGAATTCCTTGCCACGCTCAAGTGACTGCTCTGCTACCGGCCGGGAGCTGTTGGTTACTGAACCTCCTGCCCTGTCGCACTTTTTTTTGGGATACTGTCCTGTTTCACTTATTTTGTACCATCGTCTCGACTGAGTCGCTCAGGATGCATGAGATATGTTGCCTGAAAATAAAGAGCCAGCTATGTGTTAATTGCTTGGAAAAATTTGTTGTAAGTCAATTCGCGCGTGAGGCATTGAATTGAAATCGAACCATCCCTGGACGCTTTCTTCTTTCTGCCATTTTCCCTTTTTTTTTCTCTTTTCAACTTATTGAACATTTTTTTAAGATCCATCAGTGGTTTTCAAAACTATTCTAGAACTTTTATTTTTAAAGTCATGAGCATTTATAATTTTTTGAACATTTGTAAAAACAAATAGTGAATATTTCTTGAATGCACGCACAATTATAAAACTCGTGATTTTTATTTAAAAAAACTATTACTTGTTAATTCCTGACATTTTTAAAATGTGCATGTGGTTTTTGATTTTCCATACATCTTTTTGTGAGAAAGGCGGAATTAAACTGCGTTTGCATATGTCTACATTTAGCCAAATCTTTATAACGCTTAGGCGGGTCAAAATGAGAATATCATAGACAATATCATGCATTAAATGCAAAAAAAGAGTGTCATATTATAATACCATATCATAATAAAGTTATACTATTATGTGTCATGAATGATACTCTCTCAGTCACAAAATAAGTGTCTTAACCTTAATATAACTTTGTGCTAAAACAAGTATAAAGTTGAGACACTTATTTTGGGACAGAGGGAGTAATAAATAAGGTACTCAGAGCACACCAGCGATGCAGTTAGGCCGGCCCATGTATCCCTCTTTTGGGAAGCTTCCCAGCCCGTTTTTTTTCTTTCCGTTATTCTGCATCATGTTTTGTTCTTTTTTTTTGTTTTTTATTTCCTTATCCTTTTCACCCTTTTTCCCAATGTGTGCACTTTTTTGAAACAATTACTTTTTAATGTTTGTCAACTTTCTCAAATTTGTGATATCTTTCAAATTCAAATAGTTATTTTGAAATTTCGAACTTATTTTAAAATTTATTAACTTTTTCTCCAGTTCATGAACATTATGAATCCACCTAAAATTTTCAAATTCAGAATCATTAATTCATCAATAGTTTTCGGAGACATGTTTTGTTTTTCTAAATCATGAATATTTTAAACCGTGAATTTTTTATATTCAGGAACCATTTTTGAATTGAAAAAACTCACAAATCATTTTTCAGATTTGAGAACTTTTTTCAAAATTGACAGTTATTATTAATTGAAATGAAACAGCTCAAAAAAAATGTTGTCTCAAAATGGGTCACGGCCCCTTGGGGGGCGGGAGCGTGTTTCCATCCCTATACTGTATCCCATGCATAAAATAGAAGAACTCATAGTCACAAATGCTAGGTATCGCTCATTGTGAGCGCTGGGCTGGTTAATTTGGAGAGCGACCGAGCGAACTGTTACAACCGATTTTCAGAACCTTTTGAAATCGAGCAAGCAAACTGATTTTTTTATTTTACTATTTTATTTCCTTTTTCTTTTTATTTAATTTTTTCCTTTTTACGTTTCTATTTTTTCCATTTTTTGATTTTAAAAAATCACAATTTTCAATTTTAATTTGAAATTTAAAAAATTGTTCACACTTTTAAATTTTGTTCATGTTTTTGTTTTATTTTTGAAATTTCAAAAATTATTTACAGTTCAAAAAATGGTCGGATTTTTAAAAATTGTTCACCATTTTCTATATAATAAATTTCAAAAATCATTCGCATTTATCAAAAGTTATTTTATATTTTTTATTCACTTGAGCATTTTTTCTTTTGCAAAAATATGAAGTCATGAAGATATTTTTGAAATTGTGATTTTTTTTGTGTTCATGAGCATTTTTTGAATTAAAAAAAACATGAACCATTTTGAAAACTTGAGAAGCTTTTCCCAATTTATAATTTGAATGAAACAACTCGGAAGAAACCTCAGCTACGCTTCTCTCTCTGTCTCGCTATTGGAGAGTCGTGCTCGCGGCCGAGGTCGATGTAGTAGCTGCCGGACTCAGACGCGGTGCTTCTCGCTCACGGTGAGTGATATGTAGCAGCGACCGCTCCGCATTTAGTCATAGAGTCGAGCACGTAGACATAGGCACCACTAATTTGGCCATCTCCACTGGAGGACGCTTGCTTAGAGCATCTCCAACAGCCGCTCAACGCATGGCGCGCTAAAAACTGGTTTGCGGCGCGCAGCGCTGACTCTAGAAGCCGCGCTAAAATGCAGCGCGCGTAGTTCCAGCAGGCGCGCTAAAATGCAGCACGCGCTCTCGCACAAACAACATATGCGCTCCAAACACAAGCTAGAAGATCAAACACAAACAAAATAAATCAATAATAAATAGTTCAATTTATTATTACAACTCAAACAAATAGTATCTTTCATCAAATACAGCAAATAGTTCAACAATACAACATCAAACACACAAACCATGATGCTGTTTGTGTTGAGGAACGTAGCACAAATTCAAAATTTTCTATGCAACACCAAGATCAATATATGGAGATTCTAGCAACAAGAGAGAGAGAGAGAGAGATGGAGTGCATCTTCATACCCTTGAAGATCGCTAAGCGGAAGCGTTACAAGAACGCAGTCGATGGAGTCGTAGTCGCGGCGATACAAATCGCGGAAGATCCGATCTAGCGCCGAACGGACGGCGCCTCCGCGTTCAACACACGTACAGCCCGGGGACGTCTCCTCCTTCTTGATCCAGCAAGGGGAGAGGAGAAGTTGCGGGAGAACTCCGACAGCACGACGGCATGGTGGTGGTGGAGCTTGTGGTATTCCTGCAGGGCTTTGCCAAGCACTACGGAGGAGGAGGAGATGTATGAGGAGGGAGGGGCTGCGCCAGGGGAAGGGGTGCGGCTGCCCTCTATCTCCCTCACTATATATAGGGGGAAGGGGGGAGGAGGAGGCGCCCTAGGGTTTCCCTATGGGAGGGGCGGCGGCCACAGGGGAAACCCTAGATGGGTTTGGGCGCCCCCACCCCTAGGAAACTTGCCCCCCAAGCCGGGAGGGGTGGCTGCCCTAGGGGTGGCGCCCCCACCTCTCCAGCTTACGTGAGATGGGGTGGGAGGGGCGGTCAGGCCCTTAGTGGGCTGATGTGCCCCCTCCCCTTGGCCCATAAGGCCCCCCAACGCTTGTCGGGGCCTCCGAAACCCCTTTCGGACAAGCTGGTCATCACCTGGTACCCCAGAACAATTCCGGACTCCAATACCCTTCGTCCAATATACCGATCTTTACCTCCAGACCATTCCGTAGTTCCTCGTCACGTCCGGGATCTCATACGGGACTCCGAACAACCTTCGATAACCACATACTATTCCCGTTACCACTCTAGCGTCACCGAACCTTCAGTGTGTAGGCCCTACGGGTTCGGGAATCATGCATACATGATTGAGACAGCTCTCTGGCCAATAACCAACAGCGGGATCTGGATACCCATGTTGGCTCCCATATGTTCCACGATGATCTTATCGGATGAACCACAATGTCAAGGATTCAAGCAATCCCGTATACAATTCCCTTTGTCAATCGGTACGTTACTTGCCCGAGATTCGATCGTCAGTATCCCAATACCTCGTTCAATCTCGTTACCGGAAAGTCACTTTACTCGTTGCGTAATGCATGATCCGCGACTAACTACTTAGTCACATTGAGCTCATTATGATGATGCATTACCGAGTGGGCCCAGAGATACCTCTCTGTCATACGGAGTGAAAAATCCCAGTCTCGATTCGTGCCAACCCAACAAACACTTTCGGAGATACCTGCAGTGCACCTTTATAGTCACCCAGTTACGTTGTGACGTTTGGTACACCCAAAGCACTCCTACGGTATTCGGGAGTTACACAATCTCATGGTCTAAGGAAATGATACTTGACATTAGAAAAGCTCTTAGCAAACGAACTACACGATCTTGTGCTATGCTTATGATTGGGTCTTGTCCATCACATCATTCTCCTAATGATGTGATCCCGTTATCAATGACATCCAATGTCCATGGTCAGGAAACCATAACCATATATTGATCAACGAGCTAGTCAACTAGAGGCTCACTAGGGACATGTTGTGGTCTATGTATTCACACATGTATTACGGTTTCCAGTTAATACAATTATAGCATGAACAATAGACAATTATCATGAACAAGGAAATACAATAATAACCATTTTATTATTGCCTCTAGGTCATATTTCCAATAGTCTCCCACTTGCACTACAGTCAATAATCTAGTTCACATCA